TCACGATGCTCCAAAGGATCAATGAACTCCACGAAGTGAAGGGAAGATCTACTAGATATTAATTAAATTATAACTATATCAATTCATGTGAATATGACTGAAAAATTTCATTTTTTCTGAAAAGGTGGTGTCTATTTACTTGTGACCACGCTGTGTACACATATATCATTGTCAATTATAAATCAAATATAGTTTATCTTACTCACATCTTAATAAGTTTTTCTTTATGAAGAATTCTTGTTGCTAGAGACCAGTGGAAGTGGCAGATGAGAATAAACTGAATCATTTTTATATAAATTGCTCCAAATTCTAACCATGGAAAGTCGTGAATAGAGATCATCCATTTCGGTCCTCTGATTTAAAAGGAACAAAATGACTGATTTGAATTCTAACAGAAAAGTATGGACACCAACTTTAATGTGATCAACAGAAAATATTACATGAGAGCATAAGAGAAAGACAATCTTAATATGAATTTACACATCTTATAATCAGAATAAAAAAATTGGGCTAACGTTTTTTTTAATGTTCCAATTGTAAGATAAAGGTTTTCTGACTAGAGTTGCATTTAACTGGAATAAAAAAAAGTAGCATCTTCATAAAATGTGCTAAAATAATAATTTAATGTTTGTTAAGGGGAAATAACATGCTAACATGATAATTTCAGTTCTATGATACCTAATCATTAATACAAGGAAAACTGTAATGAAAGTCTTATCACAATCTGCATAATTAGACAAAGCTATTTAATACGTGACAATATTTTTCATTTCTATCACCTGTATTCTTGTATCCACATCTGGAAGAACTTCTGTAAAGGTCAAACTTTATAGTCTCAACTGTCTACATACTAAATAAGACCCTGTTATGTAAAATTTAAAACTTGTTTATTGTTATTGTTGTACCTGATGATGCCATGATAACATGGTGAAACATTGTAAATATAAATATTATACTCTGTATATCCAACAATAAACAAGTTTTAAATCTCTATGTACTGTTTCTATATTACAAAGTAATCAAAACCATAATCTACTTTAAACTTACCATAACGTAATGCCATCTAGTGACAATAAAAGAGATTCAATAAAATGATACTGATCTTTATTATGGTTATCAAACAACAGCTTCGAATTATGCACATTACGTTCTCCATAATAAATGAAAGAAAGTTTGCAATGAATAGAAAATGTCTGAAATGGTAAAGTTACTGTAGTAAAAGTGGTTTATTAGAAATGTGATCAAGTTTCAGTGGAATCTTGTTGATGTAAAAAAAAATGTAGATTTTAACATATTCTTCTAATAAAAAGAATACATTTTAGGCATTTGAACCTTTCAACACAAAAATGTAGAAATCCACAACCATTAAAATAAAATACCTGTGTAGAACTTACAGAAAAGAAACTTCCACAGTGGCAAAGTAAAAAATCAGATACTGATGAACTTGTGGATGATGGAGCACATGAAGTCGAACAACACGATGAATGCAAAGGACAAGAGTAATGAAATCTAATGCTGCAAGTATTCCACTCCTTCACATATTCAGTTTCAAAGAAAAAAAAATCCTAATCAGTTCTGCAAAACTATATAACACAAAACAGTAGATAGATTATTATTAATTTGTATAATTCCTTTCACTTGTGCAATCTGCAATATATATATGTAACAAAAAAATACAAAATTAAAGGTTAAATATGTGTGTGAATCAATACTAATCAAAGTAATATGTATTTGGGAAAAAAATAATTAATGTTTTATTCCATTTGGTGTACATAGTTTTTTGAAGTATTTTTAATATTTTAGTGCTTTGAAGACTATAAAAATACTGAATAAACCAATTTCAGTAGAGTTGGATATAAGACTATAATTCCATAAGCTTTCTTCTCTTCAATTACACATTAGACCAGTGAGTTTAAGAAGGCAGTTTTTTTACTGGCATCTCTCATTCTTTCTTTAAGTATTAACTGGTTTGGTTAGAGTTCATTAACACTCAATGTGTTGTTTTTACTACAATTTGATGTACCACCATTCATGGATTTATACCAACAACATATGTTATCTACAATCAATTTTATTCAAAGCAAACAAGTATATTTTTTAAGAATTAGTATGAAGCTGAATCACAATATGAGTCAGCAATGCTTTCAACAAAATTATCCATCACTCTTAAGAATTTCAAAATCTCATTTTTACCGTCCTGCCCCTAATTAACTCCCCTCTTTAATTATTGCCTCCCCCAGTATTTTTATAAAGCTTACCTTGTGTGACAGCAATAGTAATCCAACATAAAATCCACTTTTATTACTGTAATTTTAATTTGATAAAAAGGAAGAAAAACACACATACATACACACATACACTTATTAAAACTGAAATCAACAAATCACACGTGAAAAATAAAATCCAGAACTGCAGAAATACTATAATTAGAGCACCCCTTTCCAGTTTGCAACACCCCTGGGAGCATTAATTAGGGGCAATACAGTAGTTTTTGTGCTACTATAGCATGCTGTCTACAAAAATATTTACACTATAGTGTGCAGTCTACACAGAAACTATCATCATCACCATTTTAATGGTTCACTAAAAGATAATTTCTTGCTAAGTGATTTATATGTATCCATGTTTTTGTTCAGCAAATAATAACAATTTAATAAGTTGTGTTCCAAAAGAGTACCTTAAATTTAGGTTATAATTGTGCTAGTTTTGATTGTTGGAATTTATTTCATTCCAATTATATTTGCCTCCAAAACATTATCTAATGATATTTTGTACTTTATTAGTTTAAAAGCATTATTTATAATAAATGGCACCTATTGCAAGTAAGAGAAAGTTAAAACAGTGATGACGATAGTATCTGTGTAGACCTCATGCTATAGTGTAAATATCTCTGTAGACCAAATGCTATAGTAGCACCATAGTTTCACTATGAGGCTATTTGATTTCAAGTGTTTTAGTTATTTATATTATTTTAGCTAATCAAAAGATGCTACTTTGTAGTTTACACAATCTTAACATTTATTCAAAAGCTTAAGTTTATAAAATATTACTATTTTATTGCAAGCTTTACATTTTATACACCTGCTTCACTAATATGCCTGACACCAGATTCCAGTAATTAGAAATGTGCAACACATATTGCTGAAATACTAGTTAATTTTCAAGACAGTTTAGGTGGAAAGTAAATGCAATTTTAGGAAAATAAAAAAATCTGTATTATTTCCTATTAAAACTTTTCATAGGCCATCAACAAGAGAAATATCTACATGTTTTCACATTACTGTACACTTAACAAAAAGTTAACATTTTAAACAATATCTTTATTAACATATTTTGACTCTAAAAGAGTTAGGCACTATTAAACTACATCATTCAATACGTAATAATAATAAACCTTCACACTTACAATGAATAAAATTATACTATACACATTCATAAGTATATGTACATTGAACTTCTTTATTTAATAATAATAATAATCCCTGTAGACTCCCACTGGAACATAGGGCCCCAACAACACCTCGCCGACGGAAGTTGTTGTTGCAGTAATTTTTTAGCCCAACCCTCCTCCTTTCTCATTCTGGACTTGGGACCAGGCAATGGTGGTGGCATCCCTGCCGGGGAACGAACCCGGTACCTTAGGATTAGAAATCCAACGTGCTATCCACTGCACTATAGGGACACGAACTTCTTTATTAGGGAAATAAATCAATCAAGTTTATTTTAAACTTATCAGAACAGGCTCAGCCTTAAGTGGATTTTAGTGAAATTGTGAGGTGCTTCTACTCGTTGAAAAAGGAATCTATTATTAGTGTTAATGAATTACAAATCATCAAAAATATCCAACTGATAATATGTGACATTATTAACTATAATATAATTGACAAACAGTGTTTAAAAACTTACCTCACACATGCAACTGTGTCATATTCACCAAAACATCCTTTCACTGTGACATCAATGGTGAAGTTCTTGGAGTTTGTCCCATTGGCATCTTGTGCTGGGATTACGTCTATCCAAGACATGATTCTTTGGGTTTACGCGATGTAATCATGCAAAGTATTCTTACCAACTTTCGGAGATATTGAAACTAATCTGCCTCACAGATAACTATTAGAGGTTAAAATATATAACATGTATATTTACAAATTCTTATTGAACTAAGGGTGACATAATTTATGTACATTTAACATATTTTTTTGTTTCTTGTTCTAAATTTACAATAGCTGTATTTAAATGGGTCTTTGCAAGTTCAAAATCAACAAAATGGTTTTGATATAGGTAAGCACAAATGAATGAGTTACTGCTTAACTTCTACTAATAACAATGATAACTTAAATCTTACCAGGTAAATTAAGTTCAATAATTGAACACTGAAAATTCTATAACAAACAAAATTTGACAGATTTTTTTTTTAGAATTTTGCATTTAAAGCTAAAACTAATAATGTACTAACAATGCACAATCTGGATTATGAGCACATACTGCATTCTACAGATGAAATGTTTATAAATAATTCAATATTTTGTACACACTTTCATAAGTTTATTTTCATGAATAAATATAGGTGACTTCAAAGACTGCACCAACACAATCAAACATACACAAAAATATTTTTACTCTTGTTTGTTTACAAAACATATTGTCTTGTACATTTGAGAAAATATAATTTTTAGACTTAATAATAAGTTAAAATGGTAATCTCTGGGTGAATAGAAAGCTAACATTAAAAACACTGTTGGATTAAACATTTTCATTATTTACTTCAACTTGAACAACTACATAATTCAAGCAATGTCTCTCAACTGACAGAAATTGCCCAAAGATGTAAAAAATTCTTTACTGGACATAATTTCTTAATTATTCTTATAAAGAAAACTAGGTGAAGAGAGGGTAAAAAGAATGTGTATATTTGTGTATGTACACTTGAATTATATTTTCTTTATAAAAACTAGCAGAAACACTGCCCTATGAGCAGCTGTTTGTGCTAGTAATTACTAATTGTAGTATTTATACATCATTGAAAGAAATTTAGAAAATGTTAACATTTTCTAAAAAAGGATTTTTCTGGGAGTACTGCATGGGAAAAGTGTTTGGATTGTGCTCTTTAGTCATATACAACTCATTGCATCAGAATGATTCAATGTAGAGAGCTCAAATTTTTATCAACTTTACTGATATAAACTGTAATGTTTTTATATATTAAAGTGCTACACTTTATCTAAAAAATAATAGCTTTTTTTAAGAACTCCTGTTTCTCAGTACTACATTTAAAAATTACATCAAAGATATAATCAAACCCTCACGTACAGTCCTAGTGAAAGTTGTGTTCTTATTGTGAGGAGAGTACTTTTATCTAAAATTGTGTTCTATTATAAATAAATGGTTGTTGCACACAACAGTTATTTTTCTACATAAATTTTGAGTAACCAATGTGTGAAATTTTTTTATAGTTTTGTTTGTGGTGCCATTCAATAGATGGCGCAGGATCTTGGTTACATACATAGATACTGACATACACTCTAAGTCCATTATAGTAAGATATGCAATCGAAATTTACCATTTACCTTACCCGAAAATGTATTTCAGAAGCCAAACCTTTGTATGAAACTCCCACCTTGTGTATAATAAAGTGTACTGCATCAGTTTATAATGCAACCAGCATTAGATTACACCCCTCAACCAATAGAAGGGTGACGCATCCTTCATACACAGAACTCCCCTTGAGAACTGAATTCAAACTTAGTTTTACCATGCATTTTTGAAGCTCAGAAAATGGGTTAACTTCACTTTTTATTTAACTGTTTTCAAGCCTTGAGCTACTTTGTTGTAGCCATCATATTTATTAGTTTTTACCATTTTCCAATTACAATTTCTGAAACAATATCTTTACATTTCTGCACAAAATAGCTAGAATCCAACACTGATGTGGTGGAGGAGCCAGTGCATTTATCAAAGCCTAGATGAGCTTCCTTCAGAGAAGGTGACTGAAGGGGAAAGTCTATGGGAGTTTGACACTTTATAGTGGGGGCTTACTAGATAAGTAACACTCATGGGAGACCACATCCATCTCACACAGGATATACTCTTCATCAGGATGAAAGTATAAAAGGTGGAAGGCTAAGCTGATGTGTCACAAGGATAGGCAAAAAAATGCATGATCAACCTAGCATTTACACATAACTAGTCAGTTAGACATGAGGTGTAATGTGGCTAAGGCAATGATCAGACCATACAGTTTGGTATGTGCTCTGTCGTATCATTTACTCACCGTAAGTTACAGGAATGGAGACATGAGTTCCTTTCTATCATAGAAGGAGAACACATTGCCCCATCCGGTTGGCCAATCCACCATGAAATTGGCAGATGATATAAGTGGGAGTGATCTGCACTATACTGAAATGGACATCCCTGCTCTACTTCCCACCACATTGTGGTGCCCACTCAGATAATCTCTCCAGAGGGATTGCATAACTGGTGAGGAACTCTCCAAGTCGATTACCTCAGCAACTAGGAACTGGTAAGTGGTAAGGGCCTCCTATGCTCCACTTGATGATCAGAGGGAGGAATTCATATTGGAAAGCCATCGGAAAGGTGCCTGGGCCCAATCAGACAGATCTAATCACTGTAAAGGTTTTTTATTGGAGAAAGTGCAGTGGGTTACCATGAAACCAAATTTGAAAAGCTGACACACATGAACTAGAGAATTGGGCAGACACACCCCTGGTACTGGTTTTTTCCATGACAGAACATGGAATATATGGTCTGGAATGGATAATGAACTGTATATATATACCATCTCAACAGTGGGCACTTTAGGAGCCAGGGTGGATGGGTTTAATTCTTTTCACGAGAAAAAAGCCCTGGAGGGGGGGCAAAGGACCCTCTTGATGGTTCTCTCATCTAAAAGATTTGATACTGTGGCCTCAAGATGCAGAAGATGCTAAAGACTGAAAGGGAGAGAAAAAGAAGACAGAAGAGGAAGAGATGAGAAAATCCTTCTGTCAGAACTGGAATGATCCACCAGACAACTACAAATGAGGTCCAGGGATCTGCAAACAGAAACATGGGACTTGAGCCAACTGGGTAAAAAGAATATAGTCACTGATGGAATGTGTGATGATATTTCGATCTGTACAAATCAAGCTATTAGCCACTAATACAGGCCTTGACAAATATTTTCAGATTTAGGAGCCAGGTCCAATATAGAAATGTTTTGGTTGTGTGTTATGATATGAAATATACAGTTTGACACTGAAAAACAAAAGATTCATTTTTAAACTTTATTATATAACATATATTGAAGTTAAACCTCAATAAGTGCAATTACTAACCCTTCCACTGCTGCTGGGATGTATATTTCCCAGTGCTCCCACCCCCTCACACTGCAACTGGGACAAATGTTTCCCATTGTCATTCAAAGTTGCCACGTGTGATGTATGGGAGTAAAATGAGTTGTAAAGTATTTATTGGCATCCCACCTAATATTGATATATGGTTTCCCTAAATGTTTTCCCCTTAGACCTTTGGTAACCAACAAGATACCTAAGCAGAATGTATAACAACTGTGTGCCAACCGTGTCCGCATCGCTAGAGTGGCGAGTAGTAACCCTAATTACTCTGTAAGTATGCTTGATGCACTCGACTCAGATAGCTTAGATTAGAAGATAGTGAAAGAGAGTAATGTGGTATTCAAATGCATGATGATGAACAAGGAATGAGCCAAAAGGATACTAGCTTTCCATCTAGTGATGATAGTCAAAATGATGAATCTGGACCCAACATAGGAGGGTGTAAACAGCATCGAGAATGGGAAACATTTGTCTCTGCTGCATTGTGAGAGGGTGGGAGCACTGGGAAATATATGTTCCAGTTACAGTGAATGGCTAAAATAGTATACTTTATAACTGTAACTTAGGTGGATTCTTGCACTGAATGAAAGTAAAATAAAAATAATCACTGTGATATTGATAGGCCAAGCAGGTTGTTTCAGATTAGGTCTAATCTACTCATCACTACAACACTGTACAATGATAAGCAAGGGCCTTTTGGTGTGCCTAACCTAACTTCACTACTGTTTGTACTGGAAACTAGGGGCTATATTTATTTACTTTCACAGCAACGTGTACATGCTAATGAATATATGATATCAACAACCACTTGATAGTATTGTCTGAACTAACTGCTTTTGGTCCTGTATGAGTCTAAAGACATGCACTGATTGGTTGATTTGAGAGAAAGAAGAAAAACAAAATGGCATGAAATTAGTAACATGTTGTGTAATCACAGCACTTCATTCCAGAAAAAACACAAAGAAGTGCTGAATCTGCCATTAAAATCCTAGAAACAAAGTTTGCTTTTGGACATAAAGAATGCAAAAAATAGTTCCGGACCTTGAAGAGTCGAGAACTGTTCTAGATTTGAGTTCTATTTATCATATCAATATGCAAACGAGTAAAATGGGAGAAAATAATAGGCACCACGATGACATTTTTAGTTGCCGTGGCAACCTGGTACCTGGGATTTGTTGAGACCTGCACTAATAGAATGATAACTAAAGTACCTAGTGTTTTTTACTGTGTATATTAACAAGAAAAACTAGAATAATTAAAAACAGGAAAATATATTGTAGCTTATCCATGAGTCTTCTCCATCCAAATTTTGTGAGACATTAAGCGTTGATAAGGAAGATAACTTTTAAATTACTTTTCATTTTACCAATATTTATGAAAACAACTCAGTGGAATAAAATACTAATAAATGAATGTATAGTTAAACGTTTATGACACACAACTTTGTCCACACACACTTTGATAAGGTTCACAAAATAATTGAAAATACTAATTTTGATTAGTTGATTGTTTTCATGACATTAAAAAATTTAATTGTAATTTTGATTAACTGATTATTTTACACGATACTAGTCAATGTGATTGATGCTCATATTTTATCCACTATGTTAGTGAACAGGTCTCAGAATAATTTAATTCATGTGAGCTCACACCCTGATCTGTACAAATCAAGTTAGTACATGTATACATTGATGCAATGATATCTAGTATTTTTCCATATGTATATTAACAAGAAAAATTAAACAATCAAGTTCAAGGAAATACATGTAATCTCTGAGTACACACTAATAAAATTAATATAATCAGCATATCAAGATATTTACTATAATGTTTCAGATGAAAAACACTGGTTTACTCTTTGCTTTTAGAAAAGAAAGATGCAAAATCATCTAAAATTCAATGACACAGTTGAAATTCACACTAACCAGCAGCAAATAAGATTAAGTTTGATAGATTTGTGTCCCTATCACTGTAAAAGTTATAATTCTCCATGTACTCCTACTCCTAGAAGCCAAAATATAATTAAATATTCAACATTGTTCTTTATACCATGGGATAATTTATCTTTATTCATTCCATTGTTATATTTTCCTAATCTAGTTTTTGATTTACATACAAGTATTTATGCATACACACCTACATGATGTTAGCTAACAATTATTATTTTAATAAACTAATAGAACTATAAATTCCACTATACCTGTCACTGATCAAATGCTGAGAATAACTACATTTCCAAAACCGTTTTAAACGGTGGAATTCTCTATCCTCACACACACAGCAAATATTTCATGTTAAATACAGTGATTTATGTTTAGCTATTACTTAGACTTTCAGTCCAGTGCTAGCCACAAATGAAGGAGAAAACACAAATTTGATGCATCTTCTACACATGTACCACCCAAACAAAACTATCCAGTACACATGTACTCCGGTAACACTGCCATCCTATAACCGTATAAGTTGAAACTATAACTTCATATAAAACCTTGCGAGGCCTCCCACGCTCACCCATTGCGCAGCCCAGCACCACATGTACAGCACGTGCTCATCAGTTAGTGGGATTGGTTTTCGGCTCCAGTATCAGGATGTGTTTCTATGACAACCGTTTTGTGCATTTTCACTGAGATCATATGTTTCGTCACCTTTATAATCGAACACGTGCACATAGCTGGTTAGCGCCCCTCATAGCCTGGAGTACCAACTGAACTATTGCACCATCAGCTGTTGTTTCTATTCGCCTGCTGTTCACGAAAATTCATTATTTATTTTGCAACCCCGATATTTTACAGAAAGATTCAGTAACATAAAATAAGGTCGTTGACCATTTCTTGAATTACTGGCAGATCCATAAAACTACTATTAAAAACAAAGTATTAACTCCACAGTACTGTTTGAGAGCAACTGTAAAATTCTGATCATAGTTCCAAGTTGTCTGACCAGTTTCGAGTCAGAATCTATAATATTAAGGGACACTTTGAACTGATAATACGCATGTATATTTTTAACAAGGTCAGGCTCCTCGCAAAACCTAATGCATTAGAAACTGAAAACAATCGCACATGTATGTTGTTTTTGTTTGTTTAGGATATCCGCACAAAGCTATACAAGGGCTATCTATCAGTTCCGTTCCGTCAGCATCTTTGACTTCTCTTACTGAACAGTGTGATCTGACTGTTACCCATATAAACACCCACGGCCACGAAGTGTGCAGCGCGTTTCTGCGGCAACCGGGCGCGAACTTTTAGAAGAGCTGCTACAAATACAATAACAATTAATAATAAATAGTCTTACTTACGATTGGCAGACAAATTATTGGATTTCATATAAATTACTAATTATGATACACCTGAACATTCAGCAGTTGCATGTTTACAGAAGTTCCCAATACCATGGCTTTGAAAAGGAAATTAATTTTGTTTCAAACTTGTTCATGCAGGCTTTGAACATCTTTCATAGTTTTACTTTAACTATTTTCTTGTGTTCATTTTCATCGTGGTTTACAAACATCTATTTTTTAAATTAAAGATTTATTATTAAAATTTAAAACACGTACACATTTACCGTGATGTGGCACATTAATGATGAACTTTGTCAGGTTTTTGTATGGGCCGAATTCTTTACAGTAGGTGTCTGTGACTTATTGGAGATTAATTTTAACTATAAAAAAACAAACAAAAAACAGCACACAGTCCAGTTGTTTTAAAAGAATACGTTACAACAAGCCAAATGTATATGCAAATGTTCGTTACATTGTTAGTTATCACATCTGTATCCAGAGCTTTAAATAATCGTCTCTTTTGTCGTCAGAGTCTATACAGGCTGGTTCAGTTGCTTTAAAACACAATTTGACGAGAATAATTATTCTTCCTACTCTGTTATTACAGGGCCTGGCATGGCCAGATAGTTAGGGCGCCTGACTAGCAATCTGAAGGTCTCGGATTCAAATCCCTATCCCTCCAAACATACTTGCTCTTTCAGCCATGGGGGCATTATAATGTGACTGTCAATTCCACTACTCGTTGGTAAAAGAGCAGCCCAAGAGTTGGCGATGACTAGCTGCCTTTCCTCTAGTCTTTTCCTACTAAATTAGGGATGGCTAGCGCAGATAGCCCTCGTGTAGCTTTGCGCGAAATTCAAACCAAACTGTTATTATAATACAGTCTACGATAATTTCATTTTAAAATCACCACTATAACTGTTGGTTACAATGGTTGTATCCAAAGCTTTAAATAATTGTCTCTTTTTTTCGTCAAAGTCCACACGGGCTGGTTCAATTACTTTATAACACAATGTTCGACGATATTACACTACTTATGTGACGCCAAAACATGTCAAAACGTTGTTAATATATGCCGCTTCACCGCAATTTTATGGTTTAAATTGTTTTGAATTTCGCGCAAAGCTATTTGAGGGTTCTTTGTGCTAGTTATCCCTGGTTTAGCAGTGATAGACAAGAGGGAAGGCTGCTGGTCAACGTCTCCCACCGAGAATTCTTGGGCTACTCTTTTACCAACGAAAAGTAGGATTGACCGTCACTTTATAAAGCCCCCACGGCTGAACGAGCGAGCATATTTGGTGACGGGGAATTTGAACCCGAGCCCCATAGAGTTTGAATCGAGTGCTCTAACCACCAGACCATGCCATGCGACTTTATATTGGCTTTGGTTGTCATGTGGTTTACTGATTTACATATTCAAAACTGTTTTAATATAGCGTACTCAACTTTCTGTAATATTTTAATAGAAAACCAACCTAAAAAGGTTGTTCTTAGCGTAAAGCTACACAATGGGCTACCTGGTCTGTGGCCACCACGAGAATCGAACCCCGGATATTATCTCAAACTTTCAACTGAGTCACCGGAGAGCAAATGTAAAAATCTTAAGATATGTTGGCTTACACTGTGTGCTAAATACAAAATTTATTTAGAGAAAACCAACAAAAAAAACCATCGAATTTTTAGGTTACAGGTATTCACTAATAATTTCCAAGGTTGTTAAATGATTACTTATAAGACGGCACATTTATGTGCATCATAAGCAGCCTAAAATATGTTTCAACTCTTTCAAGGTTATGGGCATATTTGCCAACCCTCCTTTAAGCAATGCCATGCGAGTCTGGAATTTTGTACCACTATGATTGTTTGTTTGTTTGGAATTAAGCACAAAGCTACACAATGGGCTATCTGTGCTCTGCCCACCACGGGTATCGAAACCCGGATTCTAGCGTTATAAGTCCGCAGACATGTCGTTGTGCTACTGGGGGCGTACCAATGCGAAGAAAGAGTATTCAATTCAAAGTATTAAAAGTTTACCAGTTATAAGTTTTAAATAAATAATGAAATATTAAAACGTGCTTTTGTTTCTATTGTGTACTTAAAATAAAAAAGTATACCAGTTATAAGTTTTAAATAAATAATGAAATATTAAAACGTGCTTTTGTTTCTATTGTGTACTTAAAATAAAAATTGTTACTTTGAGAGTCATTTATCTATAAATGTGACAATGAAAGAGTTAAATGTTTTAACTGATTCGGTAAATTTCATAGTACCAAGAATAAATTTTATATGTTGTAGGAAAAACAAACGTGGTTTTAGCCCTATAGACGTGGCCAATTTGGTTTCCTATCCTGCATTTAGAAAACAAGCCATAACAAAAGAAAGGATGCGATTTTGATAATCTTCATCTAAATGTATTTTTCTATATGAAATTTTAAAACAACGAAAACAAATACACACTGTATATGTAGTTATTTGTGCCGAAATACAAATTAGACATCCCTATTACCAAAAAAACTTTAGTATTTATAAATCAAACGTTCAATTTAGTTTCAAACTCACAATCAAACGAATAATGCTTGCAGACGGCTTTAATGGATAATGAAGAAAAACTTTAATATAAGTTAACATAACAGTAAATGTACAACGTTTCGACAAGGTTTTGTCATCATCAGGTACAAGTAGTTTAAACCAACACAGATAT